GCGGGTCCGCCTCTCCCCCGGCTTGCCGCCCTGCCGAGCCCTGCGGACGCGCTGTCGGCCCGCAGCGTCCCCTCGCAGGACCCTCCCCGTGCCCCGCACCCCCAGCCCGCCCTGGCCTCACTCCGATCCACTGCCCGCCGGGACCAAGACATAGCGGGGAAACGACTTCCCACACTCCTGTCGCCTTGCGCCACGCTCCTCCTTTCCACACCGCAGAGCTCCCCCTTCCCCACCACAACTGCAGCCCCGCAAGCCCCGGATCATTCCTCCCACGTCTTGGAACCTATTCTTGCCCTTGTTTCCTGCTGGGCTGTACAGCTGTCCTGTGGGTGACCAGTGACACCCGGCTACGTCTGCTGTGCCTTCCACGTTGAAGAAACAGCAGAGGGAGATGCTAGTAGGGAGCTGCTGGGGCTGCTGGGACCTGCTCGGGCTCTCAGGAACCGAGTCTCCTTGTCATACTTCCTGGAATGGGAAATAATCCCATGGACACGGGAGTTTGCGTAGCCAGAACTGCTCCGTCTTAGCTACCGCTGCCCTGCCTGTACCCTTGTCACCCCTACCTTAACCCCAGTCTATGCTCCAGTCAGAGCCCTGTTACTCCCTTGGCACTGGTCTGGCCTGTGTCAACCCTGAACACAAAAGCTGAGATGTGGTAAAGAGAAAGTAGTTGTAATTGCCAGGGCACCCTTGGGTGTCTTTTCCTGTCATTCCTGCCAGGACACAAGAAGGTGCCCTTCAGATCCAGCGCGGTGATACCCAGTGTACTGCCGTTATGGTTGTCCTGGTGGGAAAATGTCTTGTGGGCGACAGGACCTATATGGCTTCAGGAGGCTCTCTGGCCTGTTCTATGGGGAGAACAGGACAAGCTGAGTCCTGCCTGGGCTCTGGGCTGCTGTTGTGGTTTAACCTCAGTCGGCAACTGAATGCCACACAGCCGCTTGCTCAGTGCTCCTCCCCCCCGCCCCCCGGTGGGATGGGGGAGAGAATTGGAAAAGCACAAGTGAGAAAAACTCATGGGTTGAGATAAAAACAGTTTAATAATTGAAATAAAATAATAATAACAATAATAATAATAATAATGTAGTAATAATAATAATAATAATACACAAAGCAAGTGATGCACAGTGCAATTGCTCACCACCCGCTGACCAATGCCCAGCCAGAATGTCCCTTTGGCCAGTTTGGCTGTGCCCCCTCCCAGCTTCTTGTGCACCTCCAGCCTTCTCAGTCGGTAGAGCATGGGAAGCTGAAAAGTCCTTGGCTAGTGTAAGCATTACCTAGCAACAACTAAAACATCGCTGTGTTATCAACATTATTCTTATCCTAAATCCAAAACACAGCATTGTACCAGCTACTAGAAAGGAAATTAACTCTATCCCTGCTGAAACCAGGACAGCTGCGCAAACCAAATTACCTTTGGGTCCCCAGTGCTACCAAACAGTGAGCACAACCACGGGGGAACCCCTTCTTCTTCTTCTTCTTCTTCTTCTTCTTCTTCTTCGTCTTCTTCTTCGTTTTCTTCTTCTTCGTCTTCTTTGTCTTCATCTTTATTTGATGATCTCAGGGCAGTGTTAGGGGGTACCTTTTATTAATACATAGAGCCTCTTGCCTCATGGACTGCAATGCTATTGGTCGCTTAGGTATTTCTCAGTTTTATAATGCTTTCTTTAGCTGTTCTCTTTATTAGTATTTTCCAAAGAAGTTGACTTTATGCTGACTGGGGTGTGGGAGGATCTCGTCATGTAACCACATGCAGCACAGAGAAGGATACCCTCCCCAGTGCTGAGGCATTAAGGTGAAAGCTGCTTTCCTGCTCCTTGGCTGCTCTGCAAAGAGGAGGAAGGTGAGGGTCTGTGGTCCATCGGGTAGCTGTGTCGAGGGCTAGGGCTGGCCAGGAGCAAAGCTCTGCCCACAGCTGGGTCAAGGCCTCGGCCAGGACGCTGTCACCCCAGCAGCACTGGGTTCTGCAATGTCAGCTCCCGGAGGAACCAAGAGCAGGTAAGAGAACTGGAGGTTCTGTCCAGGGGTGTTGATCATTTCCTTGAGGGGTGTTGGTTTCTGTGTGAGGACATGAGGAAAGCTGAGCATCTTGGCTCATCTGCAAACAGTCCCATGGTCTTGCATTTCTAAGTCCCTGGTCTGAATACCTCTGCATAGATGGGGTCTTTGAGAAAAGTAGGGAGGAGTTCGGATGGGAGATGCTGGAAAGGTTGATATAAGAAGGAGAGGATCATTTCAGGGACGAAAGCACTGCCAAGGTGCAGAACCTCACCCCTCCTGTGCCATTCTTGGCGATGCAGATTTTGCATGAGCGGAAATGGGGCTTAGCTTAACGTGGTGTTTCAGAGCACAGTAATAAATCGCAGTGTCCTGGAAAGAGACAGTTGCTATTTCTAAGGGGGCTGTTTTATTTTCGTAGACCACCACAGAGAATTTGCCATTGCGGAACTTGTCATTCCCTGAAGCTCTAAACGCTTCCAAGAGAAATTTCAAGGTGTCCCCCGGGAGCTGGCGGTACCAGAAGAAATTCAAAGTGCTGTCACTGTCCTTGATGGCGGACTGGCAGGGCAGAACCACTCGCTGCCCAACTGTAGCTGACACCTCGGAGAAGAATTGCTTCTGGGGGTCACCTCCAACAAGACCTGCAACACAGGCAGAAATGTGTCTGTGGAGCAGCTTGCTTCCTTCTCTCACTTGCTCTGTGTTTAAGGCTGTGCCCCAAACCTTTCTGTCTTTCCAAAGAAAAGGAAAGTTCAGATATCTACTTCCATCACCCCTCTGCTTTCCTCCCTGATCTCATCATCTTGTCAGCACAGACATCTGCATAGCCTACTAAAAACTATGGGAGACAATAGGAAGTGCATGAATACACCCACCTGACTGGATTAGCAGGACACATGCTGGCACAGCCATGGTGAAGATCTTTTTTCCCGGCTCCAGAATCCCTGTCCCTCGGGAGACTCTCAGCACACTACAGATCAAGGCACTCTTGGCAGCACAATGAAATGGCTGCATCCTGCAGAGTGTGCCGGAGAGTGTGTGACATAGTCACACCTCTGGGGTGAGGAGGGCAAGAATGAGGCCCATTCACCTTTTGCCTTTTCTTGTCTTCGCAGCAGACAGTGGACAGTCTTACTGGCTTCCTGCACTTCTCCCTGGGTTTCCCTCTCCCTTTGTAAGATTTACTCTGCGAGGGAACATCTCTCCCTCACTGTAGAGTGTATCTGCTTTTGTGTGCTCTTTGTTGGTGGGAGGGCTTTTGAAAGCGCAACGGCTCCTTATAACGTTCAGGGCTCTGGGAAACACAGGTGTAGTGTTCTTTTCAAAAGGTTTCAGGTTTCTCTTAGTTTAGCCTCTGTTATTTTGGAAGCAGCTGTTCAGTATTTCTCCACGCATGAGGACTCAGAGACAGGGGGAGGAAGCTGATAAGGGGGAAAGAAAGGTATTCTAATGGGTGGACATGTAAATTCCTAGAATAGGGGGATGGAGTCCTGATTCCGATGGGTTGGCTCAGTGCTGGCTGGGGCAGGGCAGGCTGGTGGGGTGGTGGAGTGGGGAGATCTGCAGCCCCATCCTCAGTGCAGCTCTACACCTGTGCAAGGCATAAGGGCAGGGCTTGGGGCCCCCCAGCCACTGCTGGCACGGTGGAGGGGAAAGGGACTGAGACTGAGACAGGAACAGGGGCAGGAGGCAAAATCCTGGTGGTGGAGCCAGTGAGCGGAGACGTGCCAAGGAGCAGCTCTGGCACTGGGAACAACTGCTCCTGGGCAGCACCTTTCTCTCTCTCCAGCCTCTTGGCAAATCTGCAGCCTTTGCTGTGTTTCTCATTTTGGTGGGTACTTTGCATACAATGGAGAGAGAAGCCCTCACTGCTGTGTATTTAATTCTGCAGTAACGTACTCCTCTGTCAGTCAAGGCTGCAAGGTGAGGTTGGCCCTGTAAATCACAGACCCTCAGCTGAAATCTGCCCAGGTGGTGAACATCCGCTGGACAAAGCAGCCACTGTTCTTGGAGAACCCGGCAGTGCCCAGAAGGTACCTGGGCTCACTGCTCCCAGATGACCAGCACCAGAAGAAGGAGGGATTTCAGTGCAAGGAGGTCATGGTGCAGGTGACTGAGACACACTGCCCAACTGATGTGAGCACCTTGAGATTCACAATGGGAAGGAGCTGGTTTGGTGCAGTGCCTGTGGGAGGGCAGCAAGGTACCCACGCTTCCCCCTTTGGACACAAAGGCAAAGTCCTGCACCTGGGGAGGAACAACCCCATGCACCAGTTATGTGCTGGGGACCACCCAGCTGTAAAGCAGCTTTGCAGAAAATGACCTGGGTGGTCCTGCTGGACACCAAGTTGACAATGAGCCAGTAATGTTTCCTTGCCTCAGACACGGAGCTCATAAAGCAAACCCCATCCTTTTGCACTCTCTAGCGCTTGGGACAATAGCTGTGTCTTGGGCTGGTGAAGAACAGAGAGGTGACTTCCAGCTATGCTGAGGCACTCCGAATACTGTCATATTGAATTAAACTAAGAATCCAAACTGGTGTCAAACCACCCTTGTTGGGGTCTGAAATCAGCAGTAGTGGAGTGTGAGCTTTGCAGAGGCGGGAAAAGGAGGGCTGAAGATACAGAAGGTTGCATTTCAGTGCCTGTGCCGTGGGCAGCTCTCTGCCATGTTTGTTCTGTTGTTGTTCAGCTGCACTCAGGCTCCTTCTGGCTCCGGCTGTTCTGTGGAGCTCATGGACAGAGCAGTGGAGAGTGCCCCTACTGTGACTGGCAAATTCCCTCATGATGAGTGACACACAAGGACACACGAACATGCACAGGCTCATGCACACCAGTGTAAAATCATGCAAAAATCTGCACTGACAAACACTTGCACAAATCCAGCATGCAGACAAGTGCAGACAAGAACACATGCATAAACATGACCAACTGTGCGCTCAACAGGGGAAATCCTGGGGACAGCCCTAGCAGGGATTCTGGTGAGCATTCTGGGGAAGGACAAGGGCCTAAACACGCTAATGATGTTATTTGGGTACGCAGGGTAGACTTGCACAGAGACGGGAGGTACATTGGGAGCCTTGCGGAAGACTGTATTCAAGAAGTCAGTAATCTTGAGCAAAACATGTCTGCTCTACTGGGCCTGGCACTAAAGGCTTGAGAAGCCCATACATTAGCATGAGTAGCTGCTGCAAGGGAATCTGCTGGAGTGCCCTGTGCCAGCCTGTGCTGCGCGTTGGTGGGTGTTATGGCAGAAATAACCTTCCAGCATGTAAGAAGAAGATGTACCTGGGTTTTTTTTGTTGTTGTTACACAAAATAAAAGGCACCACAGCATGGGAATGAACCAGAAGCTCTTTCTGGATGGGATCTGCGCAGCATGTCTTGGGAAAATCCACCTGGGTCTCTAAAATGCTGCATGAATCCAGGGTTCCCAGCATCTGAAGGGATGTAAGGTTTACTTTCTATCTATATTCCTCTTTTTAGTCTGTATTACTAAACCAGACATTTTATTATGCCATTTGTTGTCAGGCCTTTCTTTCTGAGATCTGGAAAGGAGCCTGCACCACATCTCTCCCCATGCCTTCCTCCCTGGTGCAGAATAGGAAGAGGCAAAACAGGCCAGCATAATTTTCCTGGGAGCAGTGTTAGGTGGGATAGGGTCAAACCCAGGAGATGGGCCGCTTCTTGCCAACAGGGCCACAAAAAGACCCAAAGGTGCAACCCAGACTGACATAATTTACTTGACTCCTCCAGCATATGAGCGGAGTTCTCTGCCCATGCTGACATGTTTTGCTCTGGAAATGCTTGTGCCTCTCATCCTGTCACGCAAAAGATGCCTTCACTGGGGAATGTGCTCGGCATAAAGGAGGAAACGAAAAGAGAGCAATTCAGGAAGCCAAATGCAGGCCATAGCATTAGCTGGGATGTTTTGCATTCAGGATGAGCTTGTCAGAAAATAACCACCTCTACAAGGGATGCCTCTGGAAGCCTGGGGCAGTAAAGGTCCATGATAAAAGCCAGCCCAGCTCCTTGCTCTCTCATCCACTTCTCTTGCCTCCTTCTCCTTGGGAGTCAGGTGAGTCTGAAGCCCCTTCTCCTCCTCCGCTTTCTCTAAAAATGAGGTCTCACCTCAATGGAGCTCTCTCAGCTGACCAGCTTTGTCCTATGCCGGATCTTGGGGCTGCTTGTCACGGGAGAGGGAGAAGGTTAGATGTGGAGGGAAGCTGGGACTGTACTGAGGTGGCTACTGGCCTGAGGGGCTAGGCAGTAGCCGCATAGGAGCTGGTGGCTCTTTTTGGGCCCTGTCAGGATGAGGCCAAGAAGC